TGCTGATTCGTTGGAAATCCACAGAGGGTGAGTGACAAAAGTGATGGCTAAAGCAGCTTTGCTGGATTGGCTGAACATTGCTGCTGACAATTGATGACACAAGAAGAAGAAGATGGTGAATTTGTTTTACCTGGAACAGAGTTTTTGGTTTGCCATTCTTCCTGACATTGTTCGGTCATTTTTGGATTGGAAGTGAAACCCATCAGAAACTATTTTTGAGCAGTTACGTTAAATAAAATTCTACATTTTTCCACCCTATTCCAACAGGTGTACACTTGACATTGCCTAAGTAAAAGTGGGTTTCTTTCAGTTAAGATTTTTAGCATGTTTCTCTGTTTCAAATCATTACCATCTTTCTTCGTGCAGGCGACATGCTTCGGCCCTTGCTGCACGCCGAGCGTTACATTGCCGGGTATGGGCTGCAGACTGGAGAGATCCACACCTTGATGTACAACAACCATCCCTTCAGATCTTTTCCTGTGCTACTGCTGGACTCTGTGCCCTGGTATCTGCGTCTCTACGTTCACACGCTGACCGTCACCAGCAAGGGAAAGGACAACAAGCCAAGTGAGTGCTAGAAATTAAGATGTCAAAATGACAATTGTCAGCCAAAATCAACCTTGGAAGGTCACATTCTTTTACCTTTAAAAGAAAATGTTGAAGATGGCGTGACATCGATGAATCCATAAATATTAAAGTCTATCAGGAACTGAACTGATATTTAAATCGAGAAACTTTGAGGGAAAAATATGCAGCAATGTTTTGCAACATTTATCCTAAAGTGGCAGATTGGTCTACACATGTGGCCCCTAATAAAAGCATGTACAGATACACAAAGTTTGTATTTCTATCCTCCAGTCTTCAGAAGACTACTGAATATGCCATAGTACACTGGAGTCAAGTGACATATTTTTAACAGATTTTTTTTGTTTGCTCAAATTTCTATATCATTTCTTCATTCAAGTATTTAAAATATCTGTAACTGAATGTGATGTCAGACAAACAAACATTAACATCCTGTTTTCGTTGCTCCTTTTATTCCCCTTCTATTCCCAGGTTACATCCACTACCAGCCGTCCAAAGACCGAATGCGGCCCCACCTGCTGGAGATGCTGGTCCAGCTGCCTCCACACTCCGTCACCGAGGTTACCATGCAGTTCGAGAGGGCTCTGCTCAAATGGACCGAGTACACGCCTGATCCCAACCATGGATTCTACGTCGGGTATGAACACATTGCCTGTCGCATCTGTCATAAGTCTGTCCTCCAAGTAAGAAATGGGCGTATATGTCTGATGCCAACTTCCTTTCAAGGATTAAGATGTGTCTCTCATTCAATTGTAGGTCTTCGGTTGTCAGTGCTCTTGTGCCAAGTACCGTAGCCATGAACACAAACATCACTAAGGAGCAACCCCTGTTCAGCACTTTGTGAGTGGAGTTTTTTTTTTTGCTTGGCATGTTAAGAGACGTCCTCCTGGCTTTCTTGTTTTTTCTTTGGGTGTGAAATCGCAGTTTTTATTTGTCTTTCTAGTTTTCCGACCAAAGAAGAGTCTAGCTACTTCATACGCGTCTACACAGAGCCTCTGCTGGTGAACCTGCCCACTCCAGACTTCAGCATGCCTTACAATGTCATCTGTTTAACGTGCACCGTTGTGGCCGTGGGATACGGCTCCCTGTACAACCTGCTGACCCGAAGCTTCCAGGTAGAAGAACCCAGCCCAGGACTGGCCAAGCGAATAGCCAACGTTATCCGCAAGATGAGGGGCGTGCCGCCTCTGTGAGGCAGCACCCGGGGATCCGTTAGGTTGCTACAAAAGTGGGTCCTGCACAGAATAGAGAAGAAACCCAAAAGCGTTAATGTTCAGGGTAGAACTGAGTCAAGCACTGGTATGAATGTACATTAAAAGGGCAACTTGAAGTTTGTTTTTTTTCTTATTTTTTTTAAGTAAATGGGAAATGTAATAGTTAACTATAAAAGTGTTTTTTTTTGTCTGAAACAAGAACATTTATATATTATATTGTCATATGGTTCCTGTTAATGCGCTTCTAAATTCCTTAAAAGCAATTTTTACTGTTGAACCTTTGGTGTGTTTCTGACCTGCTATTTGATATCTCCATGCCAGGAGAGATGAGATAAAATGACATGTTAAGTCACAGTAACTTTTGTCAGAGTGACATTTTTTTTTTCCATTTATGTAACCCTCAGATTTGGTTTCTCTTCCAAATACCATTAAGAAGCTATTAAAAACAATCATTCTGTGGATTTTTTTTTTCTGTCCTTAGAAATAAGCTTCAAAAAGCAACACATCATGCCCTGATCTAAAAAATAAAAATAAAAACTCATGACCAGATGAGAAACGGTCAATGACATCATCTATTTATACCACTGAGTTGCACGTTTTGATACTGTAATCTTAAAAGGCCTGTTTATGTTTAAAAACTCTTGAATGTTGCTGAATTTAAGTTTAAACACTATAAAGTTCAAAAAATAAAATAAACTTTTGCACAGTGACATAAATGATGTAGTTATCGCAAATTTTTGATGACCTTTGTTGGTCTCAAGGTTGGCACAACCATTTTTTTTTTTTAGTAAAGTACACAGATGAGGCTTTCTTAATTTTGGGAGATCAACGATCGGCTCATGATAGCATAAGAAACTGATCTCATTTGCATCCGCGAAGGTTTAAAAATCAGCCACTGCCCTCTTTTGATCTACCGTGAAAAAAGGCTGACTGAAAAATGTTTGACAAACTTTTCTTACTCTGGCATTTACCAAAAAAACATCCATCAATCCTTCCATCCCCCCATGGATGTCTCTAGATAAATCAGACCAGATTTATTTTGTTTCAGGTTTGTTGGAATTACCAAAATTGTTTCTGTTTGCTAACCGGCAAAATAAAAAAGAAGAAAAAAAAGTTGAATATCTCTGGTTTCCAATTTCAACTGTGCGTTTTTAAGCATAATATCATCATTTGTGTAGTCTATTAAAACACATAAAGTAAAAAAAAAACAACAACAAAAAACAGAAGAACAATTTGACATTTTTATTCATAAAATTCCTGGCTTCTCTGAAACACAAAGTGAAAATAAAAATAATTTGCAGCACATAGGGAGTAAATTAGACATTTTGGCAGTTTGTTTGTGTCTCACCTGGAACACATGGTGTGCAAATGTAACCACACCTGTTGAAGCAGCACCTTTGATTCACTGTACAATCGCTGTCACTGCTGCATTCTTCAACACAATACCTGGGGGTGGGCAGCCTACCCGAGCTGAGAGGAAGAAAGAAATTCAATTATTACAATAGCGTTTTAAAACATTTCAATCACCCAGCAATTATATTTCTGACATAACATTTCTCTCCTTCATTGCAGTCGTCGTCATTCACACACGGTTCTGCTGGAGCAAAACATTTTGAAGATTTCTGGGCAATGACCTGGTTTTAGACAAATAAAATGACAACATTTAACTACTGGCATGGATAAATAAACAGATATAAAAAAATTAAAAAAAAAAACATTTTTATGATACCACAGAAATGTAACAACAGCAAAGTCTTGATAAACATTTCCAGCTGTTTAACTGGTCAGCGTGCCCTCATGTCTTTACACAAGGGAGCAAACAGAACGCCACAAAACAAATAACAGATAATTTCAGGTCAGCTGTGGACTGTCGTATCTCCAGGATCGTGTGCACAACAGCCAGAGCAGAAACATCGATTAGTCACAAACTGGGATCGGATTCACAGAGAAGCTGCAATAATCAGTGGATAATAATAATAATAATAATAATAATAATAATAATAATAATAATAATAATAATAATAAAATTGTACTTTTAATTTCTAACAAGCGAGTGTAATTTCTTTTTTTCCAAAAATGTGTAATTTCTTTAAAAAGCTACTTTTTCGGGTGTGCTTTTCAGGAATCGACATGGATTCAAAATGTGTCCTCAACAGTAAAAGCAAACTCAGGTTACTACCAAAGTACCGTATGTTTATCTTTAAGGAGAGTTTGATTAGACTTCAGAAACAACCCTGGAGCATGAAAAACTTAAGAGATGTATAATAGAACACATTGAGGACAATTACCTGCAAATAATGAGCAGAGAGCTACCAAAAACATCAACAGTGATCTCAGTGAACATCTGGACTATTGCCAGTAAGATTTTATTGAATGTCAGATACATAGCTAAGTTAAAAACAATTCTCCAAAAATGTTGATTGGAGAGATCGCTGACTTGCACAAACAAGGAAAAAGTTTCCAGAAGAGAGCAATGGCAATAAATGTTCCCGGAGATACAGATAGTAGCACATTTGATGAGGTTTTTGTTTCACGTTAAAGGAACCTTGGCCTCACAAGGAGATGGGAAATTGACTGGAGATGGTGAACTCAGGTGTGATAAACCACAGTTATGCTTTAAAGACAATTTCACACAGGGTCATGTAGGTTTTTTTTTTTTTTCCACTATTACTTCCGCACTTACTTTAAAAACTACATTTTGTATTTACTTGTGAAATTATCAGGAGATCACCTGAGAAAAGTAATACTGTATGTGAGTAAGCACAGGCTTACATCAAGTTAAGATGTATGTCATAAATGTAGATGTGTACTTTGTCCAACACTAATGAATCAAATGGCTGAAATTCCCTCTTCAGTATGCAGTCAAATCCTGCAGAGTCCTTCCCCTGACTTATACTTGTCAAGAATCTTTTATCTGATTTGTTCGGGGTGTTCTTCTGTCTTCATGCTGTAAAGGTAGCCCAGGTTACTGATCAGCCAGACTCCTGTGTCTTTATACTACAGTCACTTGAGAGAGAGTCACTGCACTCTGGTGATCTCCATTCCACTCATTTTGATATTGCAAGAACTCCTTGGTTTGACCTCTGTTGAATTAGATAACTCACTTTGAAGAGGTAAATATTAATGCAATCAGCTATTTTATGTTAAATATCTCTATTTCATTTTCATTATTTTGTGGAAAGCTGATTTCATTTTGACATTATGTGTCTTTCTTTGGAAAAAAAAAAGATGATCATGATTGATACCTAAAAGCAATAAAAACAGTAAAACATGGAAGGGTGTAAATAAGTAAATCATTTTATAGGCACTGTATAAGTCAATGCAGAGGCTGTTCTGCTTCTGAAAAAAAAAAAAAAAAAGAACAGTCAAAGCAGAGTATACTTGGAAATGTAACTCAGCAGACACCAGGACCCAGTAGCCTCTGTGCCATCACATTTTCTTATGGGATATTTGGTCATACAAAAGTAAAAGTGGACATTCCTGACTGCAACAAACATGGAGATGTACTATTTTATAAAAACTGCACTAGTTTTTGCGTTTGGTTTGTGTGTGCAGGGTAGCAATGGCATTTCAAAGCCAGGTAAGCTTTATATTTTTCTATGTGAATTGAATGAATGTGCAAACAATGGACTTTTTTTCCATAGACTAAGTTGTATCTTTAATCAAAACTAACTGGCTACCTCAGAAATTGTGTGAATTTCTATGAGTCATTTATTAGAATCTTTTTTTTTTTCTTAACATGCATCTAAAACAAGGAACGTGCCCAAAAGTCTTCAATACCTTTGTCCCGGCACAATCGTGTTTCCATGACGGATGTTGTCCCGGAGAAGAAAAATGTTGCTTGTATACAGAGGGATCTGTCTGTGCCCCTCCTATTTTGAGTAAGAGATACGGCCATAAATGTATTTATATCTTATAATTTGCATTGAACTTTTGTAGAAACCAGTCAAGTCCCAACACTTCATACTCTCTGGCTAATTTTTTAAAGCACTTTTCTTCTCTGGTTCTGCCTTTTTCCTCTCAGGTAATCCAGAGTGTCCAGACCCACCAGGGAAGACTGGTGTGTGTGCTGAACTTTGCTACAGCGACAAAGATTGCCTCTGCGGTGAATTATGCTGCTCCAATGGATGCGGGCACGAGTGCATATCTACAACCCCGGGTGAGATTCTGGGCATGGAGGCAAATTACCCTTCTTACACCGTGGACGTACTAAGCCACTAAACGTCTGTGTTGCAGATAAGCCAGGTATCTGCGGTTCTCCGTGGTATTTTGTCTGGTGTGGGGACAGATGCCAGCAAGATGCTGATTGCTCAGGACATCTGAAGTGCTGTCCCACCCTTTGGGGCCATGTTTGCCAAGAGCCGTACCTGTCACCCTGGCATTGAGCTGGACGGTTTCAATTGAATTCATTCTTTGAACAAATACACTAATAAATTTAATGTTTGAGTTGTATGTTGTTGTTTTTTTCCATCTCTTTGTTTTAAATGCTCGATTCTTAAATACAGGTACATTAGATAGTTCTGCTGTGCTAAATAACTGAATAATTATATCTACATGCATACACCATAATAAAAAAAATGGTGTGTCAGGACCATCTTCTACTACAATTTCTCCTACTGGAAGAAGTGTTGTCTAGAGCCTCAAGACCTTTGACCTTTTTGACCCTTTGAAAATGGATAACATCAGATTCTGTGTATGCTACGCAATAGTAATACTGTAAGTAGATTCTATTCTGCAAAGTGAAATTAAACAACCATATTTTTAATACTTTATTAACTGCTTGTGACCATATTTAACATGCACTGCTTGGATGACACTTATCGGACACACCTGTTCAATACATATAGCAAATCACATAATATCAACTACAATAACAAATGAAATAATCAATAAAATGTAATACACACACACACATATATATATATATATATATATATATATACAGTGCTCACAATGAGAAGATTAAAGGTTAAATTAAACTGGATAAAAGTATAAAAATCATTAGGACATGTACAAAGTAGACAGTAGAACTAAAGTAAGAAGGAGCACACAAAGACAAGCTTCCAGTTGTTTATTTCATTACTGAATGCAAACAATTGCAGTCAAGGATATTTAATGCATATCCATGGACTACTGTCTGATTAGATGAGGTCTTTGCAGAAATTACCACAGTAGGAAGGGCAGCACTTTTGGTCACCTGAAGAATAACCATCACCTTTGTAGAAATTCCCCCACTCATGAGCTGTCCACAGTAACCTGGCTTCACTGGCACACCAGAAACATATACGGTTAGCTGCAAAACGGTCCAGTTACAATTAAGAGATGTTGCTGCGTTCCTCATATTTTACCTATGACTGGTGTCATGCACTCATACCCACAGCCATTGGAGCAGCATTTTAAACCACAACAGCAGTCGCTGTCTTCATTGCATAATTGCTGAAAATAGCCTGTCAGCAATTAGAAGATCACAAAATGAAGAGGGTCAGGTTACAAAAATGTTGCTGAGTGAATCAATTCAAACAAACAAAACAAAACAAACAAAGAAAAACATATAGTTTTTACAAATTTGGGGACATAAACTTACCGCTTACAAACATAGTGTAAGATTGCACAAATGCAGCAAATAATAAAATCAAGGCCCCTGTCTCATACCAGCGTGTCCCCACGATGCACACCAAGTGCACCGTCTGCACCTGTTTAGAGAATTATCTGAGTGCACAAAGGAAGGCTGAGCAGGTAGGACTGACCCTGGGTCCCTGTGCCTGCCCGCCTCTTGGACTTATTAACCAAATCTGGTTTTATTCTCTCCCAGCTCTCTCAGGTCTTCTGATAATACCCAAAGTAAGAAAACAAACCTAAACAAACCTACAGACCGTTAAGAAAACACAATTTTCTTAAAAAGGTCTTCTGAGACCAAGAATGACCAACAATTTAAAAGCAACATTCAGACTCATTTTCTTGGTTTGCCTTTTTGCTGATTTTTTATAAATCAAGCTAATTTATTCTGAAATTAACTTTATCTTAGATTTAATTAGTTTTTTTTTATCTTTAATTTAACCTATATTTATATTTTTTTAAAATTTGATTTAGTACATGTTTAGTTTGGTTTATTGTCATGATTTCTAAATAAAATAGTGAAGGAAAAAGGATCACTGAGATTTTAAAACTATTGTTCTCCTTATTCCTAGCTGTAGGAACATTTTCTTGAATTCCATAGCCTCTAGGTTGATTGAAAAAAAATACTTGTAAAACTAAAACAGGTCATTTTATGCGATTATCAAGAGGATGAGAACCTTAATATGAGAAACAAAATGCCTCAATACTTCAATTTGGAAAAATAAAATTAATTGAGGTGCAATACAGTTTAAAACCTCTAGGTGGGGCTCTTTATTTAACAATGTCTACAGTCTGAACTGTAGTTTTATTGTCTTTCATTCATCAAACACGTTGAATAAATACAACTGATGAGAAATCCTTTAATGAAAACAAATTAAACTTGGATGCCAGTCAGGCTTACGCCTCTACTGACCAAGAATTTGGGACTTCAGAACAATATGAAGTTTGACTTGGTTCAATTCCAACAAATCTTTCACCCAAAGAAACCCACATGGTCATTCTAGAGGCTGCCGAGAGCAAAAAGGAAACATTTTCTCCCAGGAGCTTAGAAATGATCCAGTTTACACATCCGTCTGATTTATATAAAACCATAGCAGTGAGTGGATTCTTATTTGTTGGTTTTATCATCAGTTTTCAAAAACCACATGATATTTGGCACTTTCAAGGCTGCGTGTTTCATGTCCTCACATGGCCACAGCTTACCAATATAGCTGAAAAAACATGTATTTTATGTTGTCTTCTCAAGAAACCAAACCTTGAAACGTGATGTTTATTCAATGATTTATCTGGTGCTTTCTTATTTCTCTGTTTATCCCCTAAAAGTTTTCTCGGGAATTCATTCATGAAAAAAAGTATTGATGGTTTTTTTTTTTTTTTTTTTTTTTTTTTGTTTGTTTGTTTTTTTCATATTTGAGTGGCAAGGTTCGGCTGTATGGTAGGTGTCACTGTATGTCCTTGAAATGATGTAGGTGATATCAGCAACTTGAGTCTGGACAAAGATGGCCGACAATAACTGAGGTTGTAAGTAAGATGAGTGGATCTGTGACAAACTGTGGAGAGCTTACTCTGCGTGGGTAAAGTATTCATATACCTGGAATAATTTTTTACATTTACCCGGTTAAGGCTACAACCTTCAATGTGTTTTATCTGGATGTTGAATGATAAACAAACATAAAGTAGTGCAGATGTGAGAAGTGGAAGATATATATATATATATATATATATATATATATATATATATA